ATAGTGTTGTTAATGGGTAGAGATGGAGGTAAAGAAAAGTACAGCAGTAGTGAAGTTGGGGTATATGTGGAGTTTATGTGTATATGTCAGGGTCAAAGTACAAAAACATTCAAGGATTGAGAATTTATTAAAACTAGGTGCAAATATAGACACTGAATTCAAGAAGGAGGGGTGTGAATAAGAGTAGAAATGCTTTTTGATATTGAAAATAAAAGTAGCTGTTTTTTTTCTTTCAAACATGATAAATGCTGAAAAATAACAGTTACTGCTTAAATAGTAGAGGATTAAAAATTTATTTAAAATGTATTCTTTGCAACACTTTAATATCCCTTAAATTTTATTTAAAATTATTACTAGAATGGAAAAAAAAATTAAAGTTATCCAACAGGAATGGATAATAGAAATCTCCTCAGGAGACAGTAGGAATATGGTGTACGTGTATGGGAAGCAGGCAAAACTTCTGGAGAAGAAGAGCAAATGTAAGGATTTTATGAGATGGCCCAAAATCTTTTCCTGGGGCCAATGGGCAGAAATTCCGGCACTGGTGGCTAAGCAGAGAGTAGTAGCGAGGAAGTAGCCAGTGTGATTGATCATGCAAGATTGTTCTGTGGGCAGAAGGAGTCACATTTAACATAGCATTTTTTTCACCTTCATTTTCCATCAGTACAGGTATTTATAGCAGATATTTATATCTATATTTACATACATATATACAGATTCATATGCAGAATATGTATGAATATCTGTATATATTTATGTAGCGACTTATAGTCACTGTAGGCTCCTCTGGTCAGTGGGGAAAACCAGGCGATTGTAGGGAGCAGTTAATCTGCCCTGGTTTAGGTGTATTTTAGGATGAGATGAATTATGCTCTGCAAGTCACTGCAAACTGAGTGTGTCCCTGTTCGCTGTAAAAGAAAGCTGTGGTGAGTGAAGAGCAGTGTCTGCTTGAGGTCATGTGGATCCCACCTGGGTCCTGAATACCCAGGATCAGTGGAATACTGCTAGTTCCAGTTGTGCAAGATGGGAACCTGCTAGCTTTCAACTGTGTGATTAAGCTCAGGCTGCACCATAGAGATACATTGTCGGGATGAAAAATGGATGAAATTTTCATAAGAATGTTACTTTTATTCTATTTCTACATAAGGGTGAATTTTGTTAAGAAGATATATTACCGCAATACTGTTAAAAGTATGTAGAAATAAGAAGAAAAGAAATGAAGAAAGGTGTAAGCTGAGAGCCCTGGGAAGGGCCCTCATATTTTTAAACATTTTATTTTTAGCATCTAGTACAGCTTTCAGTAACTCCAGCATTTCAGCTTTCAACTCCAGACCAGTTTTCAGAAGCACATTGTAATCATTCGCAGTGACTATGAGCTTCTCCAGGAGATTTCAGCAGTGTTCTCGAATTTCCTGTAGAATGATGAATAACCAACCCTATAAATATATTTGTATCTTGGAATTCTGTTGAAAGCCACTAAAGCTTCACAATTTTTGATATATTTTAATTTAGTCTGTTTGTGGAATGGCATCTTTTGTATTATTCCATCTGTTTAAGGAATCTGAAAAAAAAATATCCTTTTCTCTGCAGTAGACACTTGTGAAGGCCTTAAGTTTTTGAGGAAAAGCTGAGAGGAAAAGAAATGTCTTCACTAGAAATCATGAATGAATTGCGATATTTTTGAATTACCAAAAACTCTACTTTCTACAAACTAACTCGGTCATTTGATGCAAATTGTGTTGATCTGACTGGTAGTTGATAGTCACAGTGACACAAACCTGTTTTCAGTCCTAGCAACCCTAGAACCTCCTAGTGATTTGGGTGTGAATAGGACTTGAACCTCAGCATTTCTGTATGATATTTTATGCAAGTGAAATTTGAATAAGACTTCGGGAGTTTTTGTGGAAAAGACTTTCCACAAAAGCAGAGTTCCAAAGTCCATATCGTTCCGCTGTGCATGTAGCCAAACTTTAGTCTAGTCCATATAGTTGAGTGACACATAGATTTTTAAAGACTTCTGAACCATCTGCAGATTACCTTAGTAAATATACTATTTTAAAGGAGGTATGTCGAGCAGAAGGGGAAATCTGTGGAAGTCACCAGCTTTTATGGGTGTGCATGAACATTTCATTATTCATCTCAGCTTTTCTTTGTTGCTGCTGAAAATGAGAGTGGACTAAAAAGGTCTGAAGTCATACAAGATGCTAATTGTGTATTCCAGAATTTATTTATGCTGGCTAAGGCTGTACATCCATCGAAGCCAAGAGATTTTCAGTTTGTCACTACATTTCTGAGTGCTGGCAGATGAAGAGAATAGTTTGTCTTTCTGAATACTTGTATGTCAGGTTGTTGATGTTGTTTCTGGCCTAAAATCAACTGGAAAGGACACATGACCTGAACTGGCTGGGGTAAACATTCTTTTACTTTGCATAAACTCTGATTTTGCATCATAGAGAGTAGGACTTGATTTTAATCCAGTACTGCAGTTCAGAAAACACCTAAGCCTGTTACCCTTCGTTAACTTCAAAGACTACTAGCTCTGATGTTAACCTTATATTTTAAATTGGATATGGATGGCCAAGCCAACAAAACCTCAGAGATATCATTACTAAAGCTAAAGGAACGGTCACAAGTGCTGGAGGGATTACAAGATAAAAGAGAAAAACATAGAGCACAGGTAAAACACATTAGCTAATTCCAAAACACTTCTTGGATGAGTATCCAAGGGATAGGGACCAAACAACTGAAAAGTTCAAGTGAATTGTCAGGGACAACAGCATGTGGGCCACAGCAAAGAGGAATGCCGCTCTGTTTCCAATCCTCTAAGGCAAGACCTAAAAAATGAGCTAGCAGTTTTGGTCTAGGACACGGAACTACTGAAGAAACCAAAACATGAAATCACTAGAGAGAAAATGAAATGAAAAGATGAAACCTTTCAATGCATAGATGTAGAATGACTGAGTACATGAACAGTAATACTTTCTTCTAACCCTGAAGAGTGTGTTTCTTTGACAAATGAGTGATATTAAATCCTTTGCATCTTTTGTACCTCAGGGTTACCCCAAGTTACCTCAAAAGGTGAACAAGTACAACTCGTGTCATCACAGACATGTTTGCCCTGACAAGGAAGAAGTTTCCATGAAACATATAGATAGAAGGACTGAGTGCTATGTGTCCTAGAAGTGATGAGCGAGTGGAGAAGTTTTTGTCTGATCTATAGCAGAATTATCACTCCAGGAATACAACTCGGAGTACGGATTACCATCTCACTGTAAGGGCTCACTGAAGTAAATTTGAAATAAATAGGAATATTCACAGTCTTGATTCTGCAGCTGAATTGACAATTTCAGGCTCTCCTAGGAAGAAATAAGCATTTTTAGAATGGAATTCCTCTGACCGTTTCTGGTTCTGCTTTAGAAACAGAGATTTAAATATTAGCCAGTAGTACACCATCATCTTATATGCTGTGCTACATTAGCTGGTAGATCAAGGGAAGTAATTATTTGCCTCTATTTGGTCCTTGTAAGACTACATTTCAGTAAAGTTCTGTGTCCAATTTTGGACTCCTCATTACAGGAAAAATATAGATTGGGTAGTGGTGGTCCTGGAGAGATCATCCAGGTGACAATTAAGTCTGTGACATGCAAAGATCAACTAGAGGCTAGATTTGTTCACCTTGGAGTAGAATGAGGGTCTGATTGCTGTCTTGATCTATCTAATGAGCTTATAGAAGAGATGACAGAAGCCAGGCTCATCTTGTAGATGTACAGAAAATAATAATAGGAATAATAAGGAATAGAATCAAACTGCACCAAGGGAGAACTTAATTTCTTGTGAGATAAAATTCTTCACAGAGTACTCTTAACACTAGAGTAGATTGTATCTCTATCTTTGGAGGTTTTCAGAATTTGAGTGGAAAAGACCTTGACTCTCCCAGTTCAACTTTGAAGTTAGGCTGGCTTTAAGCTGGGACTACTAAAGATTCTTTCAAACCTCAGTTATTCTGCTCTGGATTTTCTGGTGAGGCACCGGAATAAGGGATCCTGCTGTCCTCTAACAAGCCTAAAGTGTCTTTTTTTTTTTTTTTTTTTTTTTTCCTCCCAGATTCTTTCTGAACTTGGTATTTGAAATGAGTATGGGTGGGTGTGTAGGTACTAAAACAGAATAATAGAAATGCTGATACAGCAAACAAAGTAGTAGAGATTAAGGATGCTTATGTATAGGTTTTATGCTCTCTAATGAAAGTAATTGTCCCTTATACTTTAGGATGATGTTTTGATGTATGGGGAAAATAGAGAAAAATAAAAGTTTATTTTACATTTACTACAGATTAAAACTGTAGATTGTCATTTGCTGTTTTGAAATCATAAATATCCAGAATCTTGCGCACAGTTTCTTTTTGAGAAAGATGGTGATATAAATGTTCTCCTTATTTCTTTGTACCCAAAGCTTTTTACAAGGAATTATTTAGCTTAGAAAGCATGCAACACCTTTAAACAAATAGGATATACATGATCCAAGTGCCCACAGCAGGCTGTAGAAGATTTATGAGCATTTCACAAGACATTGCACTTGAGCCTCATTTTATAGGCTCAAAACAGCGTGGGCACAGCCAGTAGTTAGGATCAGGTTTGCCTGTAACATTACTGCTATTACAGAATTGGTATGCTAATACTCCATACTAATACTCAGGAGTTGCTTATAAGCATTGGTTATCTTTGTAATCTAAAAATGAATTTCTTAGCATGATCTGTGATATGGTTTTAAAAAGACATTTTGCAAACAAGTGTATTAACTCAGTTAAAAGCTGGTTGATGAACAGAATTTTATGATTCCTTTAACACTCATAGAAAATACCATTTTTGTAACTTTCTTGAAGGAGTCTGTTCTTTCTTGAACTATTCATCTGAAGCTTCCACCAGGTTTATGTAAGGTAAGTGCAGTGAAATGATCAAGACCAGCCAGGGCTTTCAAGTCTTTTACTACTGTTTTTGTTTTAGGATGTGTTGGAGTTTGGGATAACATCACCTGTTGGCGTCCTGCTAAAATTGGAGAGACTGTCACTGTCCCGTGTCCAAAAGTATTTAGCCTTTTCTCTGGCAAACCAGGTATTTTATTTTAAGTTTTATTTTTGCAAGCATTTAAAATGCCTCCAAAGTATTATTTTTAAAGAAAAACCAAACTTTAATATAAAATTTGAAAACATTTAAATGGGACAAAAATAGGTTTTGTCTCTTCTGTATTTGCTAACATAACATGTTGAAAATGTTTATTTGCAGTTTAACAGTATTGCAAACAATATTTGCAGTATTTTCCTTTTAAATAATTTAAATGGTAGATTATCATGTTACAGACATCTCTTTAGAATGTATAAATAGCTTACATTGTCTTTAAAAAAAGAAAAGTCACATCTATATCAAACTGTAGAAGGGGTTCTGCTCTTTGAGGAGACATTGTGGTTTAAGGTCAAGGTCTAGTTATGAGATAGGGCCATTTGGTCATTTGTCAGTCAACCCTTTGTAGGATATTTACAGTATTCAGCTGAAAACTTTATACAACAAACATATTCCAGTAACCAAAGAGGAAGATAAAAATCATAAAGGTTTTAGATTGGAGTGTATAAAAACACTTTGGGTTATTTTTAGTCAAAGCTGATTTGAGATACATAAAAGTCATTCTTGGGTAAAGAGAAAGCAGGTATATTTGAATCAGATGAATACTAGTGGTAAACTCCAAACCACAGCATTACGTTATTAAAGAATTCATCATGGACATAAAAATTGGTTCTGGAAAGTTGCTAATGCTTTAACATTTTAAGAATAAATTTTAATAATTTTAAGACCTACTATTCTTTATGACATTAAACTCTTCAGTTTTGTCCTGTTGACTTTTTTTCATGATCTATGAGTATTAGAACATACCCCAGCAAGGAGCAGAATCATGAAGTGCCACCATCTCACCTGAGTTATCTCATCTGAGAAAATAGTCAAATTCTTAGTTCCACCAAAAAATATTTTCTAAAATCAATACAATGTTCAAAATTTGTTTCTGGTGTAGTTGCAAATTTCTTATATTTGCCCGTTGTGTCAGAGGTTGGCTTAAAGGGTGAGATTCAATGTGCATATTTACATTATTTGCGTACCCATTGAAGGTATTACAGTACCTAAATTAGTGGTAGGTACATGGGCAGGGTGATTCAAAACCAAATTGGAAATAGAGTCTCCAGGGAAAATGAACCAAAAGCCCGTGATGCTAATCACAGAATAGGGAACACGAGGGGCAGGAATTGTGCTGCCACCTTTTTCCAGAGCTTAGGCACTGAATTGGGGCCATTTGTTACACATTTATGGTCCAAAGTCCTGTTTAGAGTCCTGATATCTATCAGGCACAGTTTCTTAACAAAGCTGCAGAATGAAAGATCTGTCTTTTTCTTAGGCTGTTTTACCATAAAGTTGAAGAATGGGTTCTAGGCTATGTTCAGATGGAGATATTTCAAACCTATATGTTAGATTTCCTTAGAAGACCATCCTGCCGAACAAACCAGCTCACACCAAACCCTTTTCATTGTTTTTCAAGCCAGCACATTATTCGACCTTTAACGTACATAACCAACTATATCAACACATTTATTGCAGCATTAATTCATGACCACAATATCGAAAATAACCCTTCCACCGATCGTTTGGAATTGCCTTCCTGGAAAACCTTAACTGAGTTTAAGAACAACTCTCAGATAAATTACTTTTCTATCAAACTACTTTAGCTACAAATTATCCTTTTTACAGAGTGACCTGAAAGACTCCATCCAGAGTAATTTAGATAAAACTGTAAAATATTTCAGACTTTTTCAGATATAACAGAAATAGCTGTTATACCAAAAGAGAAGCCCAACATTACAGCACTGAATTTCTTTCATTTTTTCCTTTAATGCAAACACAACTCAGAGCTGGGAGTAAAAGCCACAATAATGTGAATGAAGTGCATATGAAGGGAAATAGCTGGGTTGCCTTAGCAGAACTGTGGGAAAGTACAGTATGTTAACAGCATATTTTCAGAGCATGAATAACTTATTTTGGCTAAAGATTCATTGCTGAGAATCCTGGAGAATCCTTTTGAATTAAATTCTAAAATATTCCTTTGCAGGAAATATTAGCAAGAATTGTACAAGTAATGGATGGTCAGATATTTTTCCTGACATCCTAAGCACTTGTGGGTATAATGACTATGAGGATGACTATAAGGTAGGAAAATATTTTCTATTCATTTAGATATCGGTGTTTGAAAGAGTTATGAGATGTATTTTGTTTTCAAATAATGCACATTTTGTTCTATTGGAATTAATGGAAATCTCTAGACTTTTGTGGTAGCATTGATTCCCAAATCTCATATAAGATAAAAGCAAAAAAGTAAAGTTCAGAAACTGTTCTAAACTAGTGACTGTGAACAGTTGGTAACTGCAGTAATGCATCTACATTCCTAATATTCCTGGACTTTGTGCATTGTGTCTTTTCTAGATGTTTCTGTTGTAATACAATATTAGGATGTATTATTCCATTAATGCATGTACTGCTACTTGATTGCTGATATGTCTGACTTATGATAAGTAAAATAAAAGGAATTTAGGTTATTGGATTTATTGAAGACTTACATTGGACTTCCAATTGTGTTAGCAATTAAAAATTGTTCAAAACACTGTCAAGATATGAATATAATACAAATGGAAAAATGTTTAGTTTGTGGAAAATATTTCTTGTCCTTTTTGTTGAAGGAAGCACCTTTTCCATGATGTTTTATCTGCATTCTACCACCCTTTCTTCTGAGGCTAACAGAACAAGAGCTTGTTTATATATGTGAGTTCACAGTGTTAGTAAAACTCTCATTTTCATGAAGACAATGAAATTCTTGAATGAAGCTATTTGGCTAGCTGGACTTTTTCTGATTTGTGGTATGTGTGGAGTAGCTCTGGCAGAATGGTGTTGGCTTCAGAGACGTGGTAACATTCCAGCTGAGACGTGCCGTTCTTGCTGTCTCCCTCTAAAAGCTTTTCTCAACTGTATTAACCTACCTGCTGTTTGTTAAAGATGTATTTTATTTATGGATTGTGGCAGAGACTTCTCTCTTGACCACTGTTCAAGAACCAAACAGGAACTAAACAAGAAGAGTCAGGAACTAAAACATGTATTCTAGTGGTGGAGGCCTGTTTGCAAAAGAATGTCTTAGAGATTGGCAAAAACAGTAAAATAGTAATAGATTTTCATCTTTTAGCAGGCTTTTTCAAGTTGTGTCACCAAGTTGGTATTAAATACAGAGCAACTGTGTGTAAAACACTGGAAAAATGTGACTCTCCCTCAAAAGAGTGCAGAGACTGTAGATTGTATGTGTAGTTATTAAGGGAAAGAGAATAGCTCCATGTATGTGTTTGAGTTGATATTATAATACAGGCAGAGTTTATTTAGGAAGCTGTAGTTGGTGAAATTCTGCTTAGGCTCATTTAGGTTTGTTACCAGTTAGAGATTACAGTAACGGTTAAATATTTCATAATATTATAGAGTTGTAGTCAGCTTATATTTACAAATAAATATTTTAGGAAGACCTTGGTCATAATCATAGAATCATAGAATCATAGAATGCCGAAGGTTGGAAGGGACCTCAGAGGTCATCGAGTCCAACCCCCCTGCTCACGCAGGGTCACCTAGAGCACGTGGCACAGGGCTGCATCCAAGCGGGTTTTAAAGATCTCCAAGGAAGGAGACTCCACAACCTCTCTGGGCAGCCTGTTCCAGTGCTTTGTCACCCTCACAGTGAAGAAATGCTTCCTTAAGTTCCTGTGGAACTTCCGATGCTTCAGTTTGAAGCCATTTCCTCTAGTCCTATCCCTGCCCACCACTGAAAAGAGGCCGCCCCCCTCCTCCTCACTGCCTCCCTTGAGGTATTTATACACGCTGATCAGGTCCCCCCTCAGCCTCCTCTTCTCCAGGCTGAACAGACCCAGCTCTCTCAGCCTTTGTTCATATGGTAGATGTTCCAGGCCCCTGATCATCCTGGTAGCCCTGCGCTGGACTCTCTCCAGCAGCTCCACATCCCTCTTGTACTGGGGAGCCCAGAACTGGACGCAGTACTCCAGATGTGGCCTCACCAGGGCTGAGTAGAGGGGGATGATCACTTCCCTCGACCTGCTGGAGACGCTCTTCTTAATGCACCCCAGAAAATAGCCATTATATAAAATAGCCATCTTCTTAATGCACCCATAAATAGCCATTGTATGTGTTTATAAGCCTAGCCATTACTGTACTTCAAAAATGATGATAAAGACTTTTCCCATTCTTCGCACAGATGTATTCCAAAACACTGCTCTGATCTGACTGCTTGAGGAAATGAAAACAGCAGTTTTTGAGAGGGCCCTTTTAACACACTGTCATTCTACCTAAGCATTGTCATATGGAGTGAAAGTGGAGCAAGTCTTAAAGAGGCAAATTAACAAATTATAATGTATTTCAGGTAATGGCAGATGACAGAACTAGAATAATAGAAAAGCTGTTTTTATTTGGCATGTGTGTTATTAATTTGGCAGAGGCGAATGAAATGCAAGTTGATTATATTTGCAGTAATAGTGGGAATAAGAAACTGGGAATAGGGAGTAGTAGTGAGATTTCAATAAGCCTGAAAAAGAGTAAGTAGTGAAACAGTTGGGATAAAATTCAGAAGACAAATGTGGAAAGCAGGTAGTAAAATAATAATTTCTAAACAGTGTACAAAGAAGTATACTAGATATCTAACACTGATAGAGTATGATATAAATGCATCTTGCTCGTGGGGAGAGTGGAAATAAAAGCACTGGTTGCAATTGAAGCAACTTGATTTGAGAGCTCCAGCCTCTTTTCTAGGGTTTGGGGATTACTGCTCAGAGAATATTCTTTGCCTAAAGATCATAAACTAGTTATCTCAGTGGAGATAGTAATGAACTTTTCTGACTTTAAAATTGACAGGTTAAAAGAAAATTCAATATGTTGGTGCTGACTTGTCAGAAGATAATTGTTCCTATGAAAATACTTTTTTTAAATAACAGTATTCTTCCTAATTCTTTTTTTGTAGTTAAAGTAAGGATGAAATTATCGTAATCAAATCCAAAAAGGAAATCAGGATAGTATAGGATGTTCACAAGAATTTTTTTTTTTTTAAATCATTCTGCCATGAGATTTCAGGAATTGGATTTCAGGAATTGGAAGTTCTACATCAGCCAAGTGACACAGAAAAGGAAGATCCTTTTTTTTGTGTTTTTGTCTGTCTTAGTGCTCAATGACAGTATCTCAAAAGAAAATATCTTAAGGAACCCTAAGCTACTCGGATACAAATTATTTTTGAACATACTCATAGGATGTGCCAATATGCTTTGAGGATGATGTGTAAGGTTTTCCTGAGGTCTATGAAACTTAGAGATAATACTAAAGATAATATAATCCATCGTTTCTCTGCAAAGTTCACTGGAATCATAAAGTTTATTGATAAACTTGTTTGCTTTCACTATTTGCCCTGATTTTACTCAGGGCTTCATCATTATGTCTATATTTTGTATCTAATGGCATAACTAACAGCTTCTATAAAGGAAATTATTGGCTTCATATTTTGAAATTAGCTGTAATTCTCTGATATAGCATCCTTAAATGGTTTTGTGTTATATTAAATTTTCCAGTAGTATTCCCTGGAGCTTCTGTTTGCCCTTGTAGGGGACCATTTGATAAATCTGGTAATGCCTGAATAAATATTTTTCCTTACTGTGAGAGATGCTAGCATTATCTCCTGAGCAAGTCTGTGACTTTCATGGCCAGTGCATGGTAAAAATGGGTGCAACTACAGGAGCTTAGATTATCATGAACAGACTCCTGGTGTTGTCATCACATCAAAGTGTATATTTACATCTTTGTTACATACTTCCAAATCTTTTCTTGTAAGTAAATTAGTTACCACTAAGCTTCAGGAGCCTAACAGATCAAGTTTTAGATGTCATCCCAGGCACTCAAATGAGATGTTTCTTTTTCCTTTCTGATGAATTCATGTACCACAATGGCAAAATGAGTAAATGGATTTGGCCATGCTAGAAAAACATGTCAAGACATGTTAACTAAGCTAAACTTCATTGCAACTTTTTCTTTTATGTGGACATATTTTGGCATCTTTTATTTAGACTGAACAAGCTGAAGATGAGGCCTATTGTCCTCAGAGTGTATTAGATTCTCTGTCATTATTACTAATATATGTAAGATACCTGGTGAATACAAAGGGCTGAATTGTGACCATTTTTATTTAAAATTATATCTGGGTCAGTTAATCTCAGCATGGATTAGCAGCAGGTCACCTTTATCAGATCACTGAAAGAAAACATTATGTATGAGTTGTATGTAATACATATGTGGCTATGTGATTTGAATACACAGGGTCATAAACAGACAAAGTAATGGATAAAAAGATTCTCAGGGCTACTAAGGACATGATAATACCCACACAGCTTGTATATAAGTAGAAGCAATATCTATGGGAGAAGTATTCCCCTAGATGACCAATTTCCTGAAGTGTCCACTCTAGGCCACTGTCAGAGCAAACATGCTGGGCGTGCTTGGACCTACCCAAGATCAGTGTGGTCAAGTCAGTGAGGTCGGCACTGACTCAGACAAACACTCCCTTGGATGTCCATAACTGCCTTTAGAAAATAGATGCATTACTGCTGTGAAATAGATCATTTTGCTGGACTAACAGATTGTTTGCCCTTCGTATAAATTGAATCTTTCCCTCTCAAGAAAATGTAACGCAGGGCTGCCATCTACCAATGCATTTCTTGTGCGCCTGTGAGTCATGCTGTATTTATTTACATTACATTCTGCATTTTTTGGTCATTACTTTTTCCACAAGATGTGATTAAGAGACCAATATTCCATAAAATAAATACAAGCTCTTCTTCCATTGATTTCAAGTGAGAAGGACTGAATATAAGCTGTTATTCTCTATTGTAAAGCAAAGCGGGAATTCAATTTACAATTGCGGAGTATTGACAGATTCTGCATATTTTCTGTGCACACTGAAAAAGTTCACATGCAAAGATGCACTTATCATGGTTCACATGTTCTTCCAGCACTGAATTACCCTCTCACCCCTAGAGGTCCTTCCAAAACCAAGGTTGAGGTTGAAAGATCAGCTGGGTAAGAGGGTCAACTCTGTCTCACAAGCTTCTGCGCTTATTCTTCTGTAA